ATACAAATGAATTAAACTTAAAGACTGCTAGTAGCAAAAGGAAGGAGTGGAAAGTTGGTTGGTTTGATCAAGGTTAAACAAAATTTCTATAAAATTCTGGGAATCTTTATGGAGTTTTTGCTGACACCAGAACTAAAATATTAATAATTTCTAGATTTGCATATGGATAAGGGCCACATGGTTAAGACGAAATGGAAACAAGTTTAGATATCCTGTCCGATTTCTTCAGTGATCATTCAAAATTATCATGGGGCTGAATAAAGGGACTTAGGACTCCTGCCTGAAGTTCTGACCTTCGTAATGCCCCCAGGGTTACATGATCAAAATCCAGGCCCTTGATTACCCATCCCCCCACTCTTATGACAGTGGGACTCACAACTCCAACCACCACTGTGTGCCTCATCCAGCTAGGCCCACTGGTGAATGTGCCTCTTGCCTGCCCCCCTCCTCTGGCACTCCCAAGAGGCATGGGCCTTCTCTCTGCCCCATCACACTCAAAAAGCCTTGGCTGACTTGGCCCATCAGTATGCAGAAATCCTGCTGGCTGATTTCCTGTTCCTGGCTAGCCTTGAGGAAGATTGCTGAGCCTCGCAATGGCTGGGTACACCTATCAGCAGTACACAGAAAGAGAAAGGTAAGTGGAGCAAGTCATGGGGGGCAAGGAGAAGGCTCAGACCTCTCAGAAGTGGCTGAGGGAAATAGGAGATTTGTGTGCTAGTGTACTCAGCCGAAGTCTTCCAGTCTAATATGCTCTGGACCTTGCGCAAATAAACTTCTCTGCTAACCCCTCCGGAATTCGTAAGAGTTCTTTCGTTTTCCACAAGAATTTTGGCACCTCCAGATGGGACTCTTATGAAGAGGCCGTTGTCCTGCCAGACGGCCTGCCCTGGGGGAAACCCCTCTCCTATCGGTGATATCTCCAAGCCAGCTCCGTGGCCTTTGACTACGGGGAGACTTCGATGGGAGGAAAGGGAATTTACCACCAGCGAAGCATTCCAGTCAAGGATCCACTGAGGGGAGCAGACAGGTCTTTTAATCCACAGGAGGGTCTGGAACGCCTGCAGGCAAGTATTATAAAAAGGGGTACCTGAGCCCATTTGGATCAGAAGAGGGGATTGATCAACCCCTGGAAGACGAGGCGTCGTCCTAAAGTCTTCAATAGGTAGGATTGTGTGGGAGGTTAAACCACCGCAGTTCCTGATGAGTGGCCGTTGAAATTCCAGGGCTCCAGGTCGGTGGTAGTGTTTAAGGTAGAATGGGAGGAAAACAGACTAAGGAGGGCGTTGGTCAGACGCCACTCCAGTGTATGTTGGCAAACTTTAAAAAAGGGTTTAGTAGGAATTATGGAACTCCAAGACCAAATCCAGCCATGTTAAAAAGATTCTGTGAATCTGAATGGACCACCTTTGGCATAAGGTGGCCCAAAGAGGGGTCGGCGCACCCAGAACTCATGGCACGGGTTCATCAAATTGTGACTGGAAGAGGTTATTGAGATCAATATCCTTACATAGACCAATGGCAGATTAATATTAGAAACCTAAGATTCTGAGCCAGGAAGACAGGGAGGAACTTGCCAGACCCCCTCTCTATGTTCCTAGAAGAGAAGAAGGGGGAATTCATCAGCAACACCCCCCCTTAGAGGCTTCTCTGGCTGAAAGGGATGAAGTCCACCTTAAACCAGAAGCCGGAGCGGAGGAAGAGATAAAAACAGAACAGGGAGTTCAAGAGCAAACACAGGACTTGGATAGAGATGAAAGAGAAACACCAGTTTCTAGCAGAACAAGAAATAAAAACAAAACTAAACCAAAGATAGAAGAGAAGTTTTAGTTCCTGGACCAGACAACTCAAACGTCTCAATGTTGCAATACGTTCCATTTACAACTACTGATTTATTAAATTGGAGGCAGCAATACGGGCCATTTTTAGAAAAGCCTCAAGAGATAATAGATTTATTTTCTAATATTATTCAAACACATAAACCCACATGGGATGACATGCAACAACTAATTTCTACATTATTAGACATAGACGGAAGGGAGAAATATAAGTTGGCTAAATTAAAAGTATTAGCCAGAAGACACCCAGAGGGAGGAGCTACTTATCAAGAAGACAGAGAAAATGCAGCTTGTGAACAGAGGCCAAGCTGGCAAACTAATAATTTACCACATCAAACATTGTTGCAGAATTATAGGCTGCTCTGCTTAGAAGCACTGAGAGAAGCCGCAATTCGTCCAGTTAATTATGCGGCAGTAACTAGTATTTGGCAAGAAAAAAATGAAGCACCAACTGCTTTTCTCAGCCGACTGATAGAAGCTTATAAAAGAAATACTGGACTTGATATGGAGTTGGCACAAAACCGCCCACTCCTAATTGAAAGATTTATTACCCAAAGTGCCCCTGACATAAAGAGAAAGTTACAACGTACAGAGGGGNGGAAAAATATTGCAGAGATTATGGAAATTGCTCAAAAAGTCTTCCGTAATCGTGACAGGGAGGAAGAACGTAAATCAGATCAAAAGGAGAAGAAGAAGGCAGAAATGTTAGCAATAG